AAATACTGACCTGAAAAATAAGATCAGTAGCACTCTAGATAACCTAGGAATATCTTAACATGATGACGATTACGCTCTTCCGATATGATTCAATCATGTGCGAAACTATAGAATATCACTTGGTTCTAAATTAGTTTAATTCTCCATGGGATAATGTATCATATTCGAAAGTGTGTCACTGATAAGATATTCCTAGGTTATCTAGAGTGCTACTGATCTTATTTTGCAGGTCAGTATTTATTTACCTGTGCTGAAGACAATGAAATGTGTTGTGGAAAGAATGAAAAATCTCAGCAGTTCTGTTGTAAGTTACAATATGTTTAATTGTGAAGGCATATTTGGGAAGAGAGTTAAATATAATTGAATTGCATTTCTGCTTAATTATTGCAGAATTTAGGAATATACTATTTTAAAATTGTGTTGATATAATCAGTAATTGTATAAATCGCTTTCTCAAAATGAATTACAGATGAAGCAAATCCATTCTAGGCTAGACCATAGTGGGAATAGTAAGATATTCATTTTTTTATTTTCTCTCCTTTAAGTTATGACACAGGCTGATTTGGTGCATAATGCATATTAGGAATTGATTTCCTAGCTCGTTTAGCCTTGTAAATGAGCAAGACATCAAGCCTTGTTTGGTCAATATCTGGTGGTAATCTGATATGTAAACTTACATATTTGATATTTAATGGTTGCCAAGATATTACGGCTGGGCAGCACTTAGAATTCATTTGGGGAAAGGAACTTCAGTATTTTGTAGGCACAAATATAGCTCATTCTAGCAACATCTTTAAACCAGTTGTATCTTTATCAAACTGCAAAGGGAAGCCCTGCATTTCTGGGAAAAGATGTTGCATTAAAAGATGATGCATTAGTGCCTTTTGCCTGCTGTGAAGCAGCTTTGAATTTTAACTGGCATAGCATTAACATGCAAATATAGAAAGACCCACCACTTCCTAAGCAGGAACTCTGAAGAAAGGACAGTGAAATTTGCTCTTTTCACAAATTTTGGAACTCATATCACATCCCTGTGATAATTGCCATATTGGCTAACATAACAGTGGTCCAAATGATTTCTGGAGAGTCAGATTTCACACTAACAACCAAATTATGAAATGCTAAGATGATGTTTTGAGTGTTCTTCTTCAAAGATTGGCTGACATAATAAGTATGGTAAATTATAAAAACATTTGTTGGAAGGCTCATTAGACAGTTTATTCTCACCTTTATTCTCAGTCCTTTGTCTATTTTTCAAATGGGCATCCTATAAAAAAAAAACACTTTTCAGCCATATATCATTTTTATTTTTAAAAAATGCTATGAAGCCTCTATTGTGTAAATAAAATGAAACTAGTGACTACTTATTTTCACCCACTTCCTCTTCTCAGTTTTTGATAAATGATTCTTAATTACAAATAATTAAAATAATAAAAATGTTAATTAAAAGAATCTAAATTAACATCAAATGGTCAAAAACTCTGGGAGCATATAGAAAGGTGCCAAGCTGTTCATCGGCTTGCCTGGATACGGGCTACAGAATAAAGTAGAATAAGGAATAAAGGTTCTCATAAGTGCATGGCTTTACATTCTTACAAATATTCCATATATTCCTTTTTCTTTTGCATATTAATCAAGACTGCTCAGACTTTTAGTTAGTAGGGGGTGAGTCTAACCATGGTGCAAAAGACTTTACTTGTTTTAAAATTAAACAGCATGACAATAATCTAGGCCCATGATGGCGAACTTATTGCACACATGCCAGAGATGGCATGCAGAACCCTCTCTATGGGAACGTGAGCCGCCACCCCAGCTCAGCTCTGCTGCGCATGCATGCACCTCCTGCTGGCCAGCTGGTCCTCAGGTCTCGGCCACGCATGTGTGGGGCGCATGCAGGGTGTAGGGCACATATGCAGGGATGTGTGCGTGTTGCATTTTGGGGGTGCAGGTGCGCACTTTGGACACGGTGCTGAAAAGGTTAGCCATCAATGATCTAGGCTATTAGGTTAGGAGGGGATCTATTTAATTAGCAACCTTGCTTATTATGATTGTTCATAGTATCAAGACTCATTATTTGAAATTCAACTTCTCTATCTTCAAAACTACGGCATATGCTGAGGGTAACTCCACAAATACCAAGTGTTCAGTTCAAGTTTCTGTGCAGTTTTTGTACTGTACAGTTGTGTTCATAAGAATATGGTGAGAATGAACTGGAAAATGTTATTAAGGGCTTTTGAAACTGATTTGTTTCCATGCAGGTAATAGAAGCAAATCTAAATGGAGAGATGGAATTGAAAATAGAAACTGATCTAGTGTGTATTACAACTCACTTCAGAGACCTTGGAAATCCTCCCTGGGGTAAGCATTTTACTTTTTTTTTCCAGACCAGGAGAGATTTCACAGGTCTTTAGAAATGAAATAATACAATGAGGCTAGAGGTATTTTTCTGGGAATAAAGTCTCATTGAAAATCTGCATATAGCACTATACCAAACATCACAGAATTGCACAACTGATAGAGGCCACAAGGATTATCTTGTCCATTGTTCTTGAATGTTAACAAGATTCCCCTTATCCATGATTTTATTGTGAACACAGTAGCCACCTTGGCTTTATAATACAGATTTGAATGAAATTAGAAGAAGATGTTCTACAGTGATGTGTCAGAATTGGCTTGTATCGGCTCAGAAGAGCAGATTGTTAAGGTTTCTGGAATTTTGTGATTTGGTTGAAAGCACAGCTGAGCCACTATGTTTAATAATAGCAATGGAGCCAGAAGAGCATTTACCACAAATCACTGATGTTTTCCCTATGTGAGATGTAGAACACCTGGCACTATCTCTGATCTTGAGAAAATGGGGATGCAGTTATCTGGAAAGCCTTAATAATTTTCAGAGCGTCTGGGCCCGAGCTGATTGGAAATGGGATTCTTTGATTGAAGTTGGACCCTGGGAAGGAATTGAGTTTATCAATACTGTACCAAAATTTAGTTGGCAGTCATAGGTCCTCTTCACTTGAATTGGATCAAATAGAACAGAGTTCCCCAATCTTTCCAGCTTTTTAGACCAGTGGGGGATGGGGGTTGGAGTTCTCCACGAGTGTTCATGCAAGCATGTACGTGTACACAGCTCCATTTGTGCAAGCATGCTCAGTTGTCTGCCACTTCTGCAGCTGGGTTCCAAACAGCTCAACTGCAAGGGTCAAATTGTTCTGTGTGCTGAATTAGGCTGCCCTACTGGCTGCAGAAAAGAAGCTCACATTAACTGTATCTGCCCTAAGGAGATGAAGATACCATTGAAGGATCATGCTTTTGTTAAAGGCCAGAGAGACAAGATTGGTTTGCCAGGTGTACCCGAGCAGAAATAACTAGTCAAAAGGCAAAGCTGCAATATGATGAGAGACGAAGGCTCACTGAATATAAGCAGAGAAGTATTCCATATATTTTGATACTGACGAATTATCTCTTTTATGATGAAAATGACAGACGTCTATGATGAATATGAATATGAATACTTCAAAAGAAAAGACAGAATACAATGGATTAGAAATAACAAATGTTGCTATGCAGAGCATATGGTGTGGGTCTACGTGCCACTGCTGCCATTACTACAGCCCTCTTCATAGATGCTGGTTTGAGCACTGATGAAGACAAGAGACTTGTAGTTGACCACAATAAAATCAAGAAAGCCCAGGAAAAATTATGAAGACCCTAGGTCAAGAATTTGATGAGCTCTGTAAGAAGGTGAAATAGAATGCATCTTCTTTGATATAGATGCAACTAAAGCTATGCTGAAAGCAAATAAGTCAGAAATACCTCAGTACCATCAAAGAAGAACATTATTCTGTGTACAGTGAGCCAGGTGGAAGATATCTTTATCATTTCACTCCAGGAAAAAGCTCAAAAACAGGAAAAGTGGTTGTAGATAATCTGGTGTATTTCATGAAAAAGAAAAGCATTGACAAAAGCTTGAAGATTATTGGAGGAAATTTTACAAATGTTAATACTGCCTGTGAAGGTGCCATGCACTTGGAAGAGGTTAAGCTTGACCAGAAATTGATCTGATTAGTATGTGTACCTCACACGAATGAGTTATCCCTATGGCACTTAATCATAAAATTGGATCGGAAGAACTTGTCTAACAACAAATGGGCTGATAAAATTGGCAATGTGCTAGACTCTACAACAAACTTGATATTGATCCTTCATTCACTAAAGTTACAGATTAACAGAGTTGAAAGGGACCTTGTAGTATAAATCATCTAATCCAACATCTCACCCAAGCAGGAAACCCTACACTATCTCTGACAAATGGCAGTCTCTTTTTAAAAGCCTCCAGTGATGAAGCTCCCACAGCTACCAAAGGCAATCTGTTCCATTGATTGATTGTTCTCACTGTCAGAAAATTTCTCCTTATTTCTAGGTTGAATCTCTCTCCTTAATTAGCTTCCATTTCATTATTCCTTGTCTGGCCTTCAGGTGCCTTGGAAAATAGCTTGACCCCTTCCTCTCTGTGGCAGCCCCTCAAATATTAGAACACTGTTTCATTTCACTGAGCGATGGTGTTGTAAAGGATCTCTCTACTGATCAAGCTTATAGATACAGGCCATAAGGACTGGAGAACTTCCCACAGATGTGGCCCTTCTAGAAATTAGCCCTGTAAGCCATTCATACTGATTGACAACTGCAAATAGACTTTGTCGAATATGAGTTTCCAAGTGTGGCTTTTAAGGCAAAACTCTCCAAAACTTAAGAATGATAATGGAATACGTCATTGATGTGTACTACACTTGCTGGTTCAAAATCCAAGTAAAATATTCCTGGATTGAAGGCCTGTGTCATGTGTTGTTTTAGCTGCAGCAAGTCAGACTGAAAAGGAAGGCTGTAGTAGAGGTTGTTTTGTCAACCATTCAGTGCATAGTATGCTTTCAGTGAAATTTTAATCCAGACACTCTTGTATTGAGATGACATTCAAGAGGAGAACTGGTGTGCAAAAGATCATTGACTTGAGAGTGCAGATGATGAAGTGCTGGGAGATTTTTTGTACATGCAAGAAAAATGCCTTTAATCAATACCAGAGGATCCAGTTTGCTGGAACTGATAAGACTGATCTGAAGATGTATATGAGCTACCTTTGATGTGCAAACTGACTACAGTGGAAATAAAGAAGTTAATTGTCATGGCCATTGAATAGAGAGATGTGTGAAACAGGTCACATCAGAGGCTAAGAAGCAAGTCGGCAGCTGATGTCGAACAAATCAAAACAAGATTTGATGAAAATTGCTTAAATATTTCAGATAATTGCATTCTGATGTTAGTTTATGATTGCAAGGATTATTTTTTGCTTAGCTAGATAATATGCATGCAGAAAAAAACTATTTTTGTAGCATAAGGTATAATTTTGCAAAGATAGTTATCAGTATTTGGATTACAAGAAACTTTTGTGTGGGATATGATCAGACATGGATTTACCATACCAAGCTAAACATTGTGCAATTGCAAAAATAACAGCAGATTTGAATTCTTGGTTTAAAAACACATATTTTTAAAACCCCTCACTGAAAAAAAATTAAAAAAAATAATTTTCACCCCATTAAATGACATACCATAGCAGTCCTGGGGTCCTGTGAACTATTTTTTTAACCTGACAAGCAAAGTCAATGGGAAAACCAGATTTACTTAACAACCGTCTTACTAACTTAACAATTGCAATTATTCACTTAATAACTGTGGCAAGATAGGTCATAAAGAGAGACAAAATTTAACAAATGTCTTAGCAACATAAATTTTGGGCTCAGATGTGGTCATAAGTCAAGGACTATGACCACATCTGTTAACTATTAACTACTTGGCTATTTTCAGATTGCTCTTATCTCAGGTGGCACTGATTATAATGTTTTAAATGTGGAATTTATAGCTAACTTTACAAGTCTGGTTATAGATTACAAAATACTTTCTGTTTTGAATTTTAGTATCTTGGGATGACTCTCAAAACTCTACTCACGAAAGAGACCCTATGAATATGGCTGAGGCACGCATTGATATTAAGAGACTTCTCCAGTTCCTTGCAGGGCAACAAGTCAACCCCACAAAAGCACTGTGTAGTAAGTGTTCCTTTTTTACTAGTCTTTTAATCAATTTAATATCTAGGTGCATAAAATATTTGATAAAAATGGTCATTCTTTTCTATAAAATGAAAGCGTCTGGTTGTTAATTTATTCAGGCTGAACCAATGGTGCTCAATGGAGGATCAGTTCTAGATCAAATATTTATTTGTTTTTACTCAATTTCTGCAGTTGTCCATCTCAATGCTTCTGGGTGGCTTATAATTAAAACATACAATAAACAATAAAACACTATAAAACAATAAAAAACTAAATAAAAATATTTATCCAAAACAAATATGCATATTGATACCAATATCAGTTTGGTAGTCTCAGATCCATGACTTTAGCAGACTGGCAAATTATCCTGCTGGCTACAGGACTATTTGTCATGCTACTGCAAATTCATAATTACCGTTTGGCTAAATTCTCTTCTGGTAATAGACCACTTCAACAGACTTTCAGAGAACTGCCATTCCATACAGTTTCGGATTATTGTTAGATATATCTTGCCTTTTAATGCGAACTCATGGCCACCAGCAAAAAAAATGGAGTTGTAGTGCAGTTGTGCAGTTCTTTTATGTTTTTCTTTTTTCTTCAAAGTTTTTTCTAATATTTGAATATTTGAAGATTGCATTTAATCTTACTTTTACAGTAAATAATTAATGATTCCTTGACGACTTCTCCATGATTTATATTTTTCTCATTATTTACTGGTTTTTTATTTAAAAATCTTGTTTTGTTATAGCAAGTACCATGCAGAACTGAAATTCTGAGTTTCCTATTCACTACTGAGACTGAAATTCTTCTGATTAAGTGCCAAGGAAGATTTTATATTCTTCCAGTCAAATAGTCCTCAACTTACAGGGTCCTTTAAAAACCATTTGAACCATAAAGCACCCTTGGCCATTGTAAATAGTACCTCAGGCCAGTCAAGTTTATGACCAGTTGTGTTCCACGGTCATGTAACCACAATTTATGATTATTTTTGCTGTCTTTTGTTTAAAAAATAGATTTGATTAACAACAACCATACTTTCCTCGCACCAACCATAGAAAGGGGTCTAGGACAACTCACTGTGTTAACTCTCCATGGGACAACTCATCATGGCCAACTTGCTGTGGGACAGCTCACCATGGGACAAGCCTTTTGCTAATTTTGAAGAAATGGTGTAGAATAATTAAAGTATGCAAAAGGAGAAACAAAATGAAATGTGAATGACAAAAATTAAAATATTTTTTAATTATGTTAAATAATTGAGTTGAATCGTGCTGCAATGAATTGGCCTCTGGTGAATTGTCTCATGGCAAGTTGACCATGGTGAGTTGACTGCCGAGATGGCCATGGCAAGTTGTCCCATTCCAGTAGAAAGACCAGGAAAATACTTCCAATAACATGTTTGCCTTGACTTATGACTGTAATGACATGAGCAGATTTCTGGTTTCAATTATAGTCATACGTTGAGGATGTATGCACTCTTTATTGAATAAGAAGCACTTGACCAATTACCATGCTTCATATTGGGTTTTGTTATTCTTTAAAATATGGATTTGTGTCTTGCAGATATTGCAAGTAACAGAATTGTTCATTTCATCTTACTACATGAGGACGTCTCTCTTCAATATTTCATTCCAGCCCTCGCATGAATTGAAAAGTTGTTCCAGCATATCCTCAAGTTGTTGAAATAGATTAAAAAGAATGAAGGGAAAGATGCTCTCTCTCTTATTAAAATTGTAGCCAATTTACTCTCTTTCTGAGTGGATGGAATATTATTTAAAAATCAGCAGAGAATGTGGGAAGAGAATAAGAACAGAATTAAAGAAATAAATCATTTGTTTTTACCTATTTAGGAATGATGATCTTTTCAAAATCTCATTTTAAGTTATGAAAACACAGATGTTTTGAAACTACTGTCAAATAGCTATCTCTAGGATATGTGACTTTTAGTAGAAAGAGTGCTTTTTACCCAAATTAAGAGAAAATATCTTGGAAAAATAATGAACTCTTATCTAATAGATTCAATTAAGCATTGGCCTAGATAGTTAATGTTTTGATGAGGGTATCATATAAATGAAGCAAATTACATCATTCATAATATTTGCATGCAACAAATGTATTACGTGGAATAAATATCTGTTCCAATGTATACAAAAGATGTAAATTGCAGCAAAAAATGTTATACTGCATGCAAGTCCATTATATCAAATTTTGATTTTATAAAGCTTATAAACTAAATAAACATATAAATTTATAAACACATTTCAAATAAGCATAGGTAAATAATAATTTAGGATAAATCCATATGGATAGGTGTTGTGACTCGGAGGTTTGAGCCTGCTCTGTTAGAAGACACAGGCTCGAGTAATGAGGAAGAGGAGGATTTGGCTCTGAGGTTTGAGCCTGCTTTGCTGGAAGATTCGGAATCATCTTCCTCCCCCAGAACCTTCCTCCCTGGTTGTGCCTCAGGTGTCGGCAGATAAGGAGAGAGTGCCGGAGTCCTTGGCTGAGGATCAAGCCGAGTAATGCTGGTTTGATGCAAGGCAAGACGCAGGCAGAAGCATGAAATGCAACGTAAAAGGAAATGTCAAATCAGGGACTGACTTGAGAGACTGACACGCCCCTCAGGAAATAAAAGAGGGCGTGTTAGCTCTGAATCCTTGTTTGGGACAATTTGTTTATTCGGGATAGCAGCTTTGACAAATTCTCTGTGTGGCGTTTGCCTTTTGATTTATGGTCTTGTTTGTTATCGGACTTGGCAGGCAGCTTTTGGAAGACTGCCAAGGACTTCTCCAGTCAAAGGAATTTAACTCTGTCGTTCCTGGTCCTGTCTATTTATTTATATTTCTTTGAAAACTTGGACTCTCACTTCGTGGTCACAGGTGAGACAGAACAGATAGTCATACATATTTATGCATTAACCTTAAACATTACAAAGTGAAGCAATCAAGGGATGAAATAAACTTTACAGAAATTTCTGAAATTGGATTTGACAGTTGATTCCTAGGTAAGAGTGTAATTATTGTAGATGGCAGTGATGGGCAGCAGCCTTACATCACAACAGATAAAAACAGTTGTGTGCCATGGGAGAAAGAAGTGAAAGAGAGCTAAAGTTCAAGCAAAGTTAAGTAAAGTAAAAGAAGCAAATGATGAGAAGAAAAGGACGATGAAAGAATTGGTGCTGCATAACTGACAGACAAAAGCTATGACCCAGCATGATGTTTCAGAAAGGGGGGAGAAAGAAGAAGAAAAATAAAGTTAAGCAAAGTTAAGTAAAAGTTAAAGAGGAAAAGGAAAAGAAACAACGGAAGGAAGGAAGGAAGGAAGGAAGGAAGGAAGGAAGGAAGGAAAAGAAGATGGGGAAAAGATGGCGGGGTATACAACTGGTGTTTGGCTCAATCAATGCAGGTGGCATTGCAGTCAATATGTACAGTTCGTGGCAGTGGTGTTGGGCAATGTTGTTGACAGCAATTATGGGCACAGCTAACATGCACCTAGGAGCATTGCCAATGAGTGTAAATAGTGATGTATGCAGCAGACAGTGCAAAGTGGCATGCACAACTGGCAGCAAAAGTGAAAGGTAGAAGACGCAGTGAAGTGCTTAGTTTGGAGAAGAGGAAAAGTAAAGTTAAAGAAGCAAAGGAAGAAGAAAAGTGGAGAGAGAAGGAGAGAGAAGGAATGGCATCAGAACTACAGCATTAGCTACAAGAGAGAATTCAACATTAGTGACAAGAATGAGCAAATGATTAATTTTTAAGTATTATTTCAACATTAACCTGAAGAAGACCAATTTCTAAAAGAAGGAAGGGACCCAAAGATTGTTTAAAAACTGCATAAAGCTATTTCTTTTTGTTTTAAAATAAATTTTAGTTTTTTCAAAGTCTTCTAGTTTTTGAAATTTTAGAATTTTTAAAATAACTCCACCAGTTAGGATCTTAAAATAAAGCCTTACTAAAATATCCCAAAGGTGCTTTTCAAGAGGCTTCCTGGTTTTATTGTTTCTTCAGCTTCTTGGATGAAGCTCCTTCAGCCTCAAGTGAAGAAATTTGGATAAGAAGTGAAACGTCTTCAAAGAAAACCAGAAAATCCAGTTGCCTCTTAAAATATCACCTTTTTGGGACAACCATAACCTGGATGCTGAGAATATCCTTAGACTTACTAAAACATTTTTTTTTTAAATGGAGGAGGTGGAAGAGGAGGTGGAGCAAATCATAGAAGAGACCATCTTTAGTGATCATCGAGAACCAAGAACTCTTGAAAGAAAGAAGAAAAGAGTTGGAAATAAATAAAGGAGATTTAAGAAATTAAATAGGGGAATATCCGAAAAATTAAAAAAGGGAAAAAGAGTCAGCAGAAATTCAAAGGGTGAAAGGAAGCTATAAATAGAGGGATAAATACTGGAGTGAAAGTAGAAAGGAGAAAAGACAGGGGAAAATAAAGGACAAGAAACGATTTGGAAACAAAGAAATATGGGAATTGTAAAAAAAATGGGGAAATCAATTGGACAGAGAGATAATGGGTGATTATTATATAGAAAGGGGATTCTGCAAGGTATTGAGGGGTAATATAAGTAAATTTATAGTTACAAAATAGGGACATACAGACTGACAAGATGGAAAAATAGAATTGTTATTTTTTGGATAATGGAATCTAATGCTCTTCCTCTTTATGTAGAGAGATAATTGTAACAAATACTGGAATAAGCATATTAGATATATTAAAATATTTTTAAGATTGGAATGTTGGCTTTTTTGGTTTAAATATGAATGGAATAATGTAATATGTGTATTAAATATATGGAAATAAATGAAATGATATAGGAGGAGAGCTGAAATGGAATTAACTTTAGGGTTTAGGATTGTTTTACTGTTTGAATGAGTAGATTAATATGTCTTTGGGGGGTGGGAATTTAATGAAATTTAAAAGGAGAAAAATGCAGAATCTGATTTACATATGCTATGTAGTTTTAAAAGGTTTAAGTTTAATGTTTTAGGTAATAATGTTAAATGTTTTAATGAGATTTAAAAGGGGTGAAAATAAATGAATTTATAACTTAGAGGTGGGGCACTTATATTGAGATTTCGGGGGGAAACCAATTTATAGAAGAATATACAAATGTGACAGTTAAAAGTACTAAAGTATAATGATTATGAAGTTATCATAAGTGAATTAATTAATGAGATAAATATTTGGAATAATACAATAAAATAGAAAATGTATAAAAGTACTGTTAAGATAAAGAATTGGATATAAAAATTGAATATGTAACCATGCTGTTCACTAAAAAGAGACGTTAAAATATGGAAAACTGAATAAAACTTGTTTACAAAAAAGAAGAGCTGACTTGGCAAGAGAAGTTCAGAGTTTCCAAGGCACAAAGCCATAAACCAAACACATTCTCACCAATGCTTCTCTCTGCCTGCCATGATAAATAAGCTTTCCAGTGTAGCCCATCAAGATGGGCAGGGCCTTCTCCTGAGAATCTGGCAGATTTACTCTGTGGATTACTTGAAGATAAATTATTGATTGCAAAATACAGTATATTTTGAAAGTGATCTGATTTGCCTTCAATGTGTTACATTTAAAGTTTGTTTAGACACCAGGCACAGGAGGGAGCAAGCATTAACTCTTCAACATTTCAATATTAACCACAAGAGGGAGAAAAAACCAAGTTTTAAAACCAGAGGATACAATATTGAATGATTGTTTAATTTTTTTTTAATAACAATAAAAACATTGTTAAAAAAATAAATGCCTGCATCATTTTAAAAAAAGAATAAGGGACCTGCATTGGGACTATTGAGAGTATTTTCAAGAAAAATAACAAGAGGGAGTCAACTTATTCTCCAAAGCACTTGAAGCCAAGACAAGAAATGATGGGTGGAAGCTTGTTAAGGAGAGATCCAACTGGAATCTAGGAGAAATTTTCTGACACAGAACAATCAATGGAACAGCCTGTCTGTCACCAGACGTTTTCAAGAATAGACTGGACAACCATTTTACTGGGATGATATAAGATCTCCTGCCTTGAGCCAGATGGTTGAAGAGAAGACCTCCAAAGTCCCTTCCTGCCCTATGATTCTATAAATAGTGTTTATATATATTGTAGTTTATTTTTATATGTCTACTGATGACTGAATTCAAGCTTCCAGGAATTTATCTGATTCTATGAATTCCCTAATGTTTTTGGATTTAACTTGGTCTAAAAAGCTTGCATACAAGAAACTGTCTTGAGAAAGAATTTTCACTGTATCATCTGACTTTTAGTTTGTAGATTCTCTTTAGATTAGAGGATGTTCTCTGCCAGTCTTCTGCATGTACTGTATGCCTACTTAAGTGGCTGTTATAGTCCTTACTCTGTACATTGTAGATGACTCCTATTATTCTTCGATTCCTGGGTCTTTTGACTTACTTAAGATGTTTACTTTCTGAGATATAATAAATCTCTAGTGATTTTTTTTAGAATGTACTGTAGGAATTTGTCATCATCTTGTTTTTCCTTCTGAACACTGCACATCACCCTCGACACTAGTCCAAAATTTACAGTTCAGGCTCAATTACTGGGAATATTTTTTTTTCCTGGCTGAAGATGTGCAGGTGGAAGAAAACAGGATGTTTTCAAGAAAACCTAAAAAATTTGAACATATGGCAAACCTATAAAATGTAAGACTTAATTCTAAAACTTTGACAAAATAAATCTTATTCTGTCTTTGAAATAGAAAAGGGTTGGCAGGAAGAAACAATGTGCAGCATTTATTTCCTTTTATATATCAAGTACCTCAGTCTTCTATGATTCAACTCCTTGAACTTAAGTCATTTGTCTTCTGATGGACAAAGTTCTTTGATGGTTCTGCTAGCCTTGACACTTTCATTTGGTTCAGGAATCTGGACTAGAACTTTATTTCAGATTTGTGTACTAAACTAAACCCAAGTCAATTATATTATTCCTTAGTATATTTTATGAATTCAGTCAACTGCAATTTCATTTTCAAATGAGACTAAATTCTAGCCTCCAAATCAGGGAAGTTAGTGTGTTCTATTCTCCTTATGCTCAAATTTCACAGTTCTTCCAGTACTTCTTGAATATTACAAATCCAGTAATATTAATAAATGCAATAGTTTTTAATGGATGCAAAATTACTGCAAAAACTTATTTAAAGTTAATCCTTCAATAGTGAATAGAAAAGAAAGTCAGGTACAAGAAAATAGGCTTAAGATTGTGAGCTATACTGTGCA